CATTCCCCTGCTTCACTGATGGTGGACTTATTTGTAGAACTTGATCATGGGGATATTAGTGGACCTAACATGAGAAGGCTTGAATTATAATGGCACAGTTGGTCCTGCCATCTTGACTGCCACCATTTCTACAAGAAGACAAGCTCTAGGTCATCTGAGGAGGAGGACAGCTTCACAGAACTGAGCTAAATCCAATCTACATTTTAGAGCCAAGGTCAGCCGAACACAGCCTAAATCGGCCAATTCTCAGACAAGTGAGTGAGAATAAATCATTGTTGAAATCCATTGACTTGTTGGCTACAGGGAGTTATGGCAGCAGTAGTTGGCTGGTAGAACCTAGAATCGTTTAGGATGCTTTCAGCTGCAATTAACACAGAAAAGTGCAATTTAACTACGTAAAAGAATAAAATTCCAATCGAGTCTTGAGGGTCAAGCAACAAATAAATTCAGACAAATTAAAACAGAAAAAGCAATTTATTATAAAAAAATTGGGTAGTTAGAATCTTGGTGGCAATTACTAGAAACAGATATGGAGCTACCCACTGCCACAAACAACACCCAAGTCTGTCCACATAGTCATTCTGGTAACAATATACATATTTTGCTATGTATAATGCACACTTTTTTGCCCAAATTTTTAGGAAAAAAATAAGGTTGCACATTATACATGGGTAGTACTAATTCTGTATCTATATAAATGTTTTTAATTCTTTTATTCATGCTTTTGCATTAAAAGTGTAACTCTAGAAAGCAATAATGATATCTGTATGCAAAATAATAGCATGGAATATGATAATTGGTTTTGTTTCTAAACGTTAATTATTATTTTTCTATTTAAATAATTTTATTTAGTTATTTTTTCAAGTACAGTTTTTTGTCTATTTCTCCCATCCCAGCCCCACCCCGCCCTGTGTTCCCACCTCCCTCCCATTTCCACCCCCCTTAGTTCTCGTCCCTGTGTCCTTCATATTTGTTCCTCCAAATCCCTCCCCTTTTTCCCCCCTTAAATTCCCTTCCCTCTTCCCTCTGGTCACTGTCCCCTTGTCCTCTATTTCAGTGTCTTTGTTTTTATTCTGCTTGCTTGTTTGTTTTGCTGTTTAGCTTCCTGTTAAAGGTGAGATCATATGGTATTTGTCTTTCAACACCTGGCCTATTTCACTCAGCATAATGCTTTCCAGTTCCATCCATGTTGTTGGAAAGGGTAGTAGCTCCTTCTTTCTCTCTGCTGCATAGAATTCCATTGTGTATATATACCACAATTTTTTTGATCCATTCATTTACTGACAGGCACCTAAGTTGCTTCCAGCTCTTGGCTATTGTAAATTGTGCTGCTATGAACATTGTGGTGCATAGGTTCTTTGAAATTGATGTTTTAGGATTCTTAGGATATTAAATGTTAATTAATTAAAAAGAACGATTTGTTCCCTGAAATTCTGGACCAAAAAAGTGGGTGTACATTATACATGGCAAAAATATGGTATTCATTGTTGCCACAGGCCACATATATCATAGGAGCCATCTACACGCGATGCCAGATGCTGTTACTAGAACAAGTGGCACTGCTGTTTCTGAAAACAGAACACAATGGTTACTGGGCAAAACCCATAGAATGGAAATGCTCAGCCTCTGCTTCATGACAGTTTGTGATCCATCACAATTTTCTAATTTTTGCAGGTGTTTTTGCATCTGCTTGGTGGAGACTAGATCATGCCATACCCTAACTTAAAGGGACAATGGAGGGTGAATGCCTGATATTTTTAGCTTCTCTGATGGAAAGTAGGCTGTACATAAAGTGGGGAACTCCTAACACAGGAAAGAGGTTGCATGTTGGCCAGCCAACTGAAAGATAAATGCTCCTCAAACAACAAAAGAGTTATCAGTGCATCTAGACAAGATATGAGGCAGGCATCCTCACTGCTTGATCCTGAAACTTCAGTGTCATCCACGCAGGTTCTTTTCTTTTCAACACTCTTCCACGAGTTGGCTTAACCCTTAGGCTGCTCCCCGCAAAGTAATTTCTAAGGTCTGAATGTTTATGTCATCACCCCAATCTCATATGTTAAAATCTTCACCCTTTAGATGATGGTATTTGAAGGTAGGGTCTTCAGGAGGTAATTAGGTCATGAAGGTGGAAGAAAACAAGATATTTTACAGAGAGGAGAGAGAATAGAAGAGAGGAGGGCCAAACCAGTGGTTCTCAATCTAAGCTGCAAATCTAAGTTGTCCTGTTAGAATACCAATTAAGGTCCAGTATCTTTGGTACCCATTTGGGCAGAGGCTGATCAACCAAGGCTCTGGCAGGCCCTGACCCCATGGGTGGTCCTGGCTCTGTAGGAGCTCTGTGCCTGGGTCATGGAGGTGTCAGCCCCATGACGATGCGAGTATTGCCTTGGCAGTGGGTGCTCTGTGCTTTCCCCCCACTTGGGAAGAGAGCTCTCTTCAACTCATCCTATAAAGGCACTAATCTCATTCATGAGGACCCTGCCTTCATGACCCAATCACCTGCCAAAGGCCTTACCTGCTAATACTATCACCCTGAGTAGTAGGTTTCAACATATGAATTTCAAGGTGACACAAACATTCAGGCTATAGCACTATGAACCTGTTTAAAAGGAAAATCCCTGGGCTCACTTCTAGTAATTCAAGTTCCGTAGGTCTCAAACAAAGCACAGGGATCTGCTTTTTTTTTTTTTTGGACACAGAAGGGGCAGTAGATATTGTTTACAAGGGACATTCATGGAATGCAGAGGGCAACTATGTAGGTAATGCAATGTGCATTCCAGTCCACTCTGTTTGGCTGCCAGGTTACATTGATGTCATGCAAACTGTTCCTGTTATATTAACAATGGTTGGACTTTTTCCAGACAAGCTACACAAACAAAAATACAAAGTCTGTCATAGACAGAGTCCCACCCAAATGATTTTAGCCTTAATTGTAGAAAATGAACTTAATTAGTTATTGTCTGAATGGGGAAATCCTACCTCAAATGCCATATTTGCTTTTTCTTTGTATTTTAACAACGTTTTTTAAACTCTCACTGGAGGATATATTTACCCTCGATTTTAGAAAGAGAGGAAGGTGGGTGATGGGAAGGGGCAGAGGAGCAGGGGTCGGCTGTCTCCCACCTGCACCCCACCTGCACCCCACCTGGGACAGAACCAGCAGCACAGGCACAGTTCCTCGCCGAAACCAAACCTGAAGCTTTTTGGTGTGTGGGACTGTGCTCCAGCCAACAGAGCAACCCCACCCGCTCTTCTTTCTATTTGAGACTGCACCTAAACAGTCTCCACTCAACTGCAAATGGTATCCTCGGCTGCAGCATATTTTCCCCACACAGAAATGTGAGGCCTTCGGAATTTTTGTAGGGTAGTTATGTCTAGACACCTTGTTGACTGGTGTCTCAGGAGCTTTCAGGTCGCTTCTGTTGAACACAGAGGAAAACAGGGCTGTGCAATTTGCCAGCCAATAAAGGCACCGGCCTGCTTGCAACTCCATTATCTAACTAATGGAGCTCGCTACGGCTGATTGGAACTAAGGTTAATCGTTCTGACAAGATGTACTTGTTGGACGCTCTGGCAAAGCTGTTTTGCTTGTCCCTTGACTGAATTGGATCACTGTCCCCTTTCTTTTGGGTTTTGGAAGCTGATTTATTAATTCCAAATAGGATTCTTGAATTTCCTTTTCCTACTCTGATATTTTCTGTAAGGTTTCTCTAGACTTCACAGGGATTTATCTGGTAAGCTTCTGCTTCCCAAAATCACTCAGCAAAAAATGACGTGGAGGACTGGGGAGCTGGGAAGTGCCTGCAACACGATGATTGCATTCTGAAAATGTTTTCATCCTCCAGAGTGAATTTCACTAAGAAAATCTGTGAGGAATCTTTATTTATTGGACACTAACATTTTTAAGATTAAAAAAAAATCCAGCAACTGTAGATTTTGTTTATTTCTCAAAGAAGACTTGTGATGTGTGAATAACTTGGTTGATTGCACCTCAGTCACAGCCCGTATCTGCATCACCAGCAGTCGGTCTGGGTTTTATTATCGTAGGGTAGATAGCTAGGGAAGCAATGAGCCATAGCTCATAAGTAAGCAGTCTGTTTGACGCCTTACTATTGGTGTAGCCTGGTACCCAGGTCACTCTGGGTTTGTGATCTATTGAGCTTTGCTCTCTTTCTCTAAAAATAATTAAGAAAAAATTTTTTTAATTGGATGTTGTAAAGTTACCTGCTTTATGGCACAAAATCAATTCTTGTTAAACAAACAGTGAGGGCAAACATTTGTTTTCACTGGAATGTGTATTTATAACAAAGCTAGTCAGCTCGTTTTTCCACTGACCAAAGATAAGGGTTATTGACAGTGGTAAGACCCTTTCTAAACCTACCAAGTGTAGTCCTCTAGGTTGACTAAATGAACAAAGGAAGAAGATATAAAAGGGAATGAACAGAGACCATGCTGCAGCTTTAATCTTTAATCTCGGTGGTTAGAGGAAGGCAGCAACATTGTAACAGGGTGTTAGGAAAAGAAAAACTGGTTGTTAATAATGCTTTCCATTTGAATTTCTCCCCAAAATACCTTTAGTGAATGGTTTCATTTAATGTTACATTTTAACTTCAAAATGGTTTATGTTTAAAAAAAATATTCGTTGCCCTGGCTGATGTGGCTCAGTGCATTTAGTGTGGCCCTGGGTTGCGGGTTCGATTCCCAGTCAGAGCACACTGCCTTGGTCACAGGCCAGGTCCTCAGTGTGGGGCATGTGAGAAGCAACCACACATTGATGTTTTACTCCCTCTCTTTCTCCCTCCCTTCCCCTCTCTCTAAAATTTTTTTAAAAAATAAGAAAGTATTAATCAATTTGGATTTGATCAGCAGTTTTTAAAAATTGGATGGATTCCCAGCCTTAGCTGTTTTCCCAGAAAAGTTGGTCTCCTCCCACACAGGAGATCATAGGGAGATTATTCTCCAGAAAAAGCAAGTCTGCTGCATGTTGAGTATTCTTATATAAAGGTACATGAAATGACAAGATCCAGCAAGACATGCGAGCAGCCTTGAGGAGTGAGAATGGCAGGGCTCCTCGCTATAATTCTCTCCAGGCAATTTTCTTACCGTTTGTGCTGAAGCCTCCCTGGTATGATTTATTAGCTCCTCTTAGTAACAGTAGAATTCTCATTAGAAGCATAGCCCAATGTTACTTACTAAAAATAATTAATATTTCCGAATGCTTACTAAGTGCCAGGCACTGTGCTAAAAACCCTGCATGAATATTGTAACTTTAAATAGCACAACAACCCTATGAGCTAACTCTTATCACCTCCATCTTACAGATGAAAGGAGTAATGTGATTTTTCCATAACACAAAACTGCAGAATGACGGCATCAGAGCTCCAGGAGGTGCGGCTCCCGAACCCATGACCTTCAGAGTGGGACGGCAGACCAGCAGCCCCCGACAAACCTGATGGCCTCAGGTTTCCCCGGCCCCAGACCTGCTGGATCAGCACCTGTGTTTTAACAAGGTATCAGGAGATTCATCTGCACAGAAAAGTTTAAGACACTAGACTACTGCCTCTTTTCTGACTGTATTAATTTGGGCAAGGCATTTAACCCCTCTGCACCTCAGATTTCTTCTCTGTGCAACTGGAGTAATAACACAGACTTCATAGATTTGTTGTGAAAACCAGACATGATGTTGCGAAGAGTCTGGTGTCTGGAAGACGTTAGGTGCCCAGACAATGCAATGACACTAGAGCGTTCCCAGGCTTCAAAAGTGTTCACGGATCCTATCGAGAGCAGTGATTTCCAGTGTTTTTCATCTTATGGCACTCATAACCAATGACTAAAATTCTGCAGTACCCCAAAATATACATATGTTTTTTTGCTGATCTGACAGGGAAAAAAGGTATAATTTGGATTCCTCCAACTGGACGATGTTGTTGTGTTGGCTGCTTTCATTATCTTTATTTGAAATTTAAAGGAGAAGAGGTCCGTGCCCCTGATTAATTAGTCAGATTTTTCAGGTTTTAAAATTCTCGTGACACACTGACTGGAAGTCGCTGTCCCAGAGAGCTTAAAAAAAAATGTCTGCTACTCTCCTCACCCCTGCTCCAAATACGCTTTCCACTCCTAAATAGTTGAGTGGCTAAGAGTTGACAGAAACCTTTTTCTTTTTAACATATGAAATTATAATAGTACCTCTTGGCTCCAATTTTAGTACCCTTTCTTTTCTTTGAGTTTCTTGCCTTTGAGTTTCTTGCCTTTTTTCCTTTTAAAATTATTTTCGTGGCTTCTAGTCAAGAGGGCAGCAGAGGCAGACATGGCTCACCTCTGCACACAACCACACCAAAATTCTAACTAAAATGGAGAACCACCATCACTCAGAATCACCAGAAACCGAGTTGAATGGAAGTCTGACAACTATGGAATTAAAGAAACCACATTACCCAGAGTGGTAGGAGGGCTGCAGATGCGGAACAGGCTGGTCCCGCACCCCCGTGTGCTAGATAAAAATTCTGGTAGGAGGGATGTTTGGGGAGTGACGAGTACTAGCCACATGTCAGGCCACCCAGTCTGGGATTCCAGTGCCAGGAAGATAAATACCCACAAGGTCTGGTTGCAAAAACCACCAGGGAAAGAGTTGGGTGGTGAAACTGCTGGAGTTCCCCAAGTAGTTCCTCTTAAAGAACCCACACAGGGAGTCGCCCACTAAACTCACTTCCTCTGAGCTTCAGCACTGGGGTAGCAGCTTGAAATGCACCAATGGCATTCTGGGAGAAACTGAAGTGTCTGTCATCAAGGTGAGGCCATTGTCCCTTTTCTAAATACTCACCAACAGAGCCAGCAAGCTGGTGCTAAATCTGAGAATCCATCAACCTGGCTGACACGGTTGGACACACCTTGCAGATCCCCAGTGGCTCTGCCCCACCCAATTTACGGGTCCACCCAAGTTGCTTTCAATATGAGTGGCTGGTCTTGTCATGTGCTTCACAACTTCCTGAATCCTCTCAAACAAGCAACAGCTGGCCTTTGTAAACCCCAGGCCTGGCACAAACAGCAGCCACTCTAGATTCACAGCTTGGCTTTGCCTGGGAATCTCCAAGCCCAGCATAAATAGCAACCATCTCAGATTGTGTTATAGTTCAGGGAGTATGGCCCTGGGAAAAACACCGGTGGGGGCTGATCTTGGCCTGTACCACCCAGGAAACCCCAGGGCCAGCATACCCAGTGGACAGCTCAGACCGCATCAGAGCACCGCCACCCTGCCACCACATAGCTGATCCTCCACAGAGAGCAGGGGTTGGTGGTAAGTGGTCATAGCCAGTTCTTGCAGCTGATTGGCTTGGGTAAATCCCTCCCATTGATCTGCCAACAGCAACCAAGGCTTAACTATGGGTGGAGGGTGTAGTCAGTCCACACAAAGGGCATACCTTGAGTACCCTGCTTGGGTGATAGGGGAGGCTGTGCCACTGGACCCTACAGGACACCTACTACATTAGGACACACTTCCAAGACATGTAGTCAAAGCAGCTCTACCTAACACATAGAAACAACACAGAAAGGCTACCAAAACAAGGAGACAAGGAAATATGGCCCAAGTGAAAGAATAGATCAAAAGTCCTGAAAAAAAGAGCTAAATGAAATGGTGATAAGCAACCTCTGAGAGCCAGAGTTCAAAACACTGGTTATAAGGATATTCAAGGAACTTAGTGAGGACCTTAGCAGCATTAAAAAGATCCAGTCAGAAACAAAGGATACACTAATTGAAATAAAGAACGACTTACAGGGAAACAACAGTACAGTGGATGAAGCTGAGAATCAAACTAATGATTTGGAACATAAGAAAGCAAAAACAACCAATCAGAAACAAAAAGAAGCCCCCCAAAACAAGGTAGTGTAAGCAGCCCCTGGGACAACTTCAAGAAATCCAACATTCACATCATAGGGGTGCCATAAAGACAAAAGAAAGAGCAAGAAATTGGAAATCTATTCAAAAATTAATGAAAGAAAACTTCCCTAATTTGGTGAAGGAAATAGACATGCAAGGTCAGGAAGCACAAAGAGTGCTAAATAAGATGAATGCAAAGAGGCTCATTCTAAGACACATCATAATTAAAACACCAAAGGTTAAAGATAAAGAGAGGATCTCAAGAGTAGCAAGGGAAATAAAGTTAGTTACCTACAGGGGAATTTCCATAAGACTATCAGTTGATTTCTCAAAAGAAACTTTGCACAGTAGAAGGGATTAGCAAGAAATATTCAGTCATGAAAAGCAGAAACCTGCAGCCACGATTACTCTACCCAGTAAAACTGTCATTTAGAATCGTAGGGCCAATAAAGAGCTTCTTAGACAAGGAAAAACTAAAGGAGTTCATCATCACCAAACCAATATTATATGAAATGTTAAAAATACCCATTTAAGAAAAAGAAGATCAAAACTATGAACAATAAAATGGCAAAAATACATATCTATCAACAATTCAATCTAGAAAACAAGAAAACAGAGACAGAATCATGGACAAGGAATGTGTTTTGATGGTTGTCAGATAGGAGGGGAATGTGGCATGATGGGTGAAGAGGTGAGGGGGGTTAAGAAGTACAAGTTGGTGATTACAGAATAGCCATGGGAATGTAAAGTACAGTATAGGAAATGGAATAGCCAAAGAACTTATACACATGACCCATGGACATGAAAAATGGTGGGGGGATTGCCAAAGGGAGGGGGGTGCTGGGCAGAGGGGATAAAAGGGAAAAAATCAGGGCATCTCTAACAGCATAATCAATAAGACATAATTTAAAAAATAAAATAAAATCATTTCGTATTGTAAAATATACATATTGAAGGGACTATAAAACATATATGTGTATAATATAGGTGATAATAATAAAACCATGAAACTATAAGCCATGAAATAATAACCCAAGTTATTAAAAAAAAAACCTTGTCTATTATAAGACCTTGACCTAGAACAAAATCTGCTACCTTATTCAGTAACCTAGACCCTTCCTGTGTGCTTCAATTGCTCCCAGAGAAAATAGCTATCTTGGTTTTTATGATTTTTAGATTTTTGCTTTTTAAAAATATACAGGGTCCAGCACACGCATAATGCCCCTTTTTTATTACAAAATCTTTTATTACAAAATCATAAGCACACAATTCTGTAACATAACAATACACGCCATGTGACATTTTAGGTGAAATGTTCAAATTGCTCTCCATCTCATGAGAGACATTCATGTATCCTACCAACCACACTCAAGCAGGCCTTACTTCTGCCAGACCCTGTAGTTTTACCACCCAGATGATACATGTGGAATCATACAACATATTCTTTTGTGACTTGCTTCTTTTACCTTATTGTTTTTCAGATTCAGTCATTCACATTGTTGTATGAAGTTGTAGTTCATTAAAATTTTCATTGCTTTTTAATATCCCATTGTATAAATATTCCACAATTTATCCACTCAACTGTTAAGACACTTTCTCCTTTTTTTTGCATAGTTATGCTGCATGAGCATTCTTATACCTGTCCCTCGAGGCACATGCCCACCCACTTACATGGATCGTAGGTCATATTCATGTACTTTATAAAAACAGTTTTCAAATGTTAATCCCACCTGCAGTAAAATAGTTCCTTCCACAATGCATACTCACCAACATGTGGTACTGTAGGGATTTTTGCAAGTCTGATGGTGTACAATGGGGAGCCATTGTGGCTTTAGTTTGCATTTTCTTATCTCATGATATATTATTATTCATTTAGGGTTCTATCTTCTGTGCAATAACTTCATATTTTTAAACATTCTTTTTTTAATACTAATAGAATAAAGATTTTTTATTAAGAATTGTAAGTTGCATTCAGTAGTCTTCAGTACACCACACCACAACCCATCTACAATCAGTCAAACCCAACAAAGTTCATCTTTGCGCAATCTCTGACTCAGGGCAAAAGTCACTTTAACTTACAGTAAGATTGTACTCAGTTCTTGAGGACAGAGATGGGGAATTACACCTCAGTTCTGATCCCTGATGTGTGATGAAGAGCATCAGAAGAACTATATAAAAAAATAAGTAGTGATTCTAAATTCAAAGCACATTTGTTTGGAAACATTAACACAAATGTCACAGTAATATAAGTATACCTGCTTCTACTAAATTCTCGATGAGGAAGTTTTCAAGAATGAGCAATTTGATTCCTGCTGCAGAAGGGGAGTTTGGTGTTTTGTTTTTAATCAAAGAGATTTCACTTTGCTTTTCACAGAATTTCATATTTGCTAATATGAAGGAATAAAACAGCAACAAAGAAAAATGATGCATATACTAGGGTAACGCTGATATTCAAAACAGCTAGATAACATTGGGGGGGTTTAGGATAAATGCAACATAGGTCAATAATCACAAAAGTTTAAGGTTAGAGCAAGATCAGTCAATGACTAAACAGAGTTAACATCTTTTATAGCCCTATTACTGAATATTAGCATTTTTGTTTTGTAAATGGACACATACCGGTGAGAGTGAAAG